AAACCAGTAAGTGTAAGGAAGGTGCTTTCCTGAGCTCTGTGAGGTGTTCACAGCCTAAAGGAGGGGATTATGGGATTCTACAACCTTGTAGCTAAGTCAGATGGAGGCATCAGTAATGTGACTGATTCATGGTACTGAGTCCTTAAACCTTTGGTGTGTGATACTAGCTCTGGTTAGTTAGTGTCAGAATTGAACTGAATTATAGAATACCTAGTTGGTGCCAAGAAATCGTAGAATTGGTTGTGGGTGTGGAAAATCCCCTACACATTTGGTGTCAGAATCTGTTGATGTCAGGGGAAAAAGCACCCCTCATTTGGCATGTGTGTTCCATTGTTTGAAAGTTATGTTTTTCTGCTTCATCTCAGAATTCTAAATGCTATTTAGGTCAATACTGATTATTATAATTATGTGAATCTTCTGTGTCTTACCAATTTTTGGTTTAGGTGACATTGCTTCTGACAAAGATGTAGTAAAATTTACCTCTGTGATTTTTTTCATTTTCCCCCCTTATAATCTTGTAGCTTTTTGCTTTATATATTTTGAGACCTTATTGTCTAGCACAACAGTCAGGGTCATTCTATCTTCCTGAAAAATATTTCCCTTCTCATTTAGTGTGTTTAATACTAATAACTCTGTTTGTCTTAAATTCCATTTTGTCTGATTGTAATAAGGCTCTCCTAGCTTTCTTGCACTTACTATTTGCCTGGCACATCTTTTTCAACCGTACCTTGTAAATATCATACAGTGGGAATTTCAAAAATTCCAGCCTGAGACTATAACCAGTGGTTTTAATTTGTTTTTACATTTATTACTAGTATATTTGGATTTATTTCTTCCATCTAATTTTTTTTTTTTTGCATTGTTCTCCTTTCTTTTTGCCCTTTTTGTCCTTTCATGTTTTCTTTGTTTTTCCTTTTCTTCTTTTCCTGGTTTGGGAGTTATACTTTTTATTTCTATTAGTGATAATCTTTAAATTCTTGTCATTAATACTTGACTAAGTTTCAAGTTGATGTTTCCCAAGCAATGTGAGTATTTCCACTTGTCTGTTCAGCTTTATTGAGTTATACTTGACAAATAAAAATTGTGTATGTTTAAGGTATACAGTGCAATGATTTGACCTACATATACATTGTGAAATCATCACCAGATTCAAGTGAATTAATGCAATTCATCACCTCACATAGTTACTTTTTTATGTTACTGAGAATACTATAGATCATTTCTCTTAGAAGATTTGAAGTATACCAGATAGTACTATTATTAACTATAACCACCAGGCTGGCTGTACATTAGATTCCCAGAACTTACCTATCATATACTTGAAAGTTTATATCCTTTATTTTGCCATCTTCCCATTCCCTGTCCACCTAGCCCCTGGAAATCACCATCTACTCTTGGCTTTTATGAGTTCAATTTTTTAAAGATTCCACGTATAAGTGAGGTCATACGTGACGTCATAAGTGAGTGTTTTTCTTTCTGTGTCTGGCTTATTTCACTTAGAATAATGTCCTTTGGGTTCATCCATATTGTTAAAAATGGCAAAATTTCCTTCCTTTTTTATAGTCATATGTATATATGAATATATATATATGTGTGTGAGTATATATCTAAAATGATATATATACATATATGTATATAATATGTTTACATACTTGGAATTTATATGGAATAATTTATATATCCCATTGTATGTGGAATTTATATGTATGTAAACTATGTAATTTTGTGGATTATTTCACGTTTTCTTTATCCATTCATCTGAGAATGTCCACTTTTTAAACTCAGCTCCATTTCCATGTTGTTAATGACCACTACTTTCCATTTCCATTTGAGGAACTTTCCATTTCCATGTTGTTAGTGACTACTACTGTCTTCTCTCTAGTTCTAACTCCTCATTAGTTGTCTGAATTATTACTGTGCTTTGTTTACAGTCAATTCTGTTTATCACCATATGTGCTGATATTTTATGTTCATCATTGCATCTTGCTTTTTACTTCTTTGTTCTGGACTAAATTTCCTTAATGAGGTATATTTGTAGTAGATATTTCAGTGAGAGTCTCTGAATGGTAAATTCTTCTTGCCTTTGCCCATAAATATCTTTATTTTCCTCTCTTGGAGTTTTGTTGAGTTAGGTGTTGTATTCTAAGTTGACAGTTGTTTTCTCACAATAATATGAAAATACAATTTGATTTTCCTGTGGGATATTCTGTTGCTAATGGGAAGTCTGCTGGAGATCCAGCTGTCATATATTTTTTAGGCAATTTGTTTCTTCTCTCTGTTTGCTTGGGAGACTTTCTGTTGTTTTTGGTATTTTGCAAGTTTGCCACAATGTGTCTAGTAGTAGATTCATTTTCATTTATCCTCTTCAGCACTTGGGTACTTTTTCATTCTGAGAAATTACACACTCAGTTCTGGAAAAATCTTAACCATTGTCTTTTCATATGTTACCCTCTTTCTCTCTTTTTTCTCTTTTGGAAGATTTATTTTGGATTTTCATACTCTAGCCTTTGTATCTCTTAACTACTTTCGTATTTCCCATCTTTTATTATTCTCTGCTATATTCTGCATAATTTCTTTAGATCGAGTTCCCATTTATCTAATATTCTCCTCAATTCTGTTTAATCTGCCACACACCTTGAGGTTCTAGTTTTATTATTGTTATTTTTGAGACAAGGTCTCACTCTGTCACCCAGGCTGGAGTGCAGTGGTGCGATCGCAGCTCACTGGAACTTGGGCCTCCTGGTTTGAAGTGATTCTTATGCCTCAGCCTCCCAAGTAGCTGGGATTACAGGCATGCACCATTACATTCAGCTAATTTTTGTACTTTTAGTAGAGATGGGGTTTTGCCATATTGGCCAGGCTAGTCTAGAAACCATGGCCTCAAGTGATCCGCCCACCTCAGCCTCCCAAAGTGCTGGAATTACAGGTGTGAGCCACCATGCCTGGCCTTCAGCTTCTACTTTTAAACACTATATTTTCATTCCTATAAATTCTGCTTTAAAAAAAATCTGTCCTGTTTCATGCTTTTATTATTATATTTTTTATCAAACTTTTAATAATTTTAAATATATGTATTTTTTAGTCTGTTTTGGTTCTCTTCTCTCCTAGTACTTGGAATGATAATTCTCTCATGTATTAATTACATCTGCTGGCATTGCATTCCCTCTTGGTCCTGTATTCTTTGTGTGTGTGTGTGTGTGTGTGTGTGTGTGTGTGTGTGTGTGTGTGTGTACTGTAATACTTCATTTTTATTTATTTTTTTGTTGTTGTTTTAATACTTTATTTTTAAATAGAGTTCATTATCAGCAGTGTTTTTTTTTTCTTGTGGGATTTCTGTGTTCTCAATTGGTTTAAGTGTCCCTTCAAGAAATAGCCTACACATGGTTTCGGGAAAGTCAAATATTTCTTGCTATTTGTTATAACAGAGAGGATATAGCGAGCAGCCACTGAGAGACGAAATCTCAAGTGAGCAAGGAGAAAATTAATAGAGGAAGGTCCTAGAGAAAGTGAGAAGCTAAAGGACGAGGAGCCAGGTACAGTATAACTTTATAAAAAGGAAGAGGAATATGTCTTTCTTTTCAGTATGAGGGAAGGTAAAATTCCAATGAAAAATACGGAAATATTTTGAATAAAAAACTTGAGAGAAGCCTCAAGAAATGATTTATTCTTAGAATGACAAGAGATGAGTTTTTCTTTGCAGGTTAGGCAGTCAGACAGTTATGTGTCTGAGGAGACTAATGCTGTTAGAAGTGCTGAAGGGCAACAGGAAAAATTAATAGAAAGGATTGTCAAGAAGGAGTGAGGGCCCAGCCAGGATTTAGAGAGAATAGACTTGTGGGATACAATCTATGTGCTTTGGTGATTTTTCCCACACTACTTGGCAGCTATGGATAGAGGGAAGAAAAGTATGAGTTTGCCAGATTTGATGATTGACAATCCAGTCACAGGAGGCAGTTTGGGAGTGAGCAATTCTAAGATTCCTGCAAAAGCCCCATTTAAATCATTTATAATGGATTCCTGGCTGGGTAAGGGTCAAAAGAAGCCAGAAAGACTCTGATGAATGAGGAGACAAAAGAAGAATCTAGAAAATGGAGATTCAGCAAAGGTGAAGACAGATCAGCAGGAGTGAGAGAGCTGTGGGGTAAGAAGTGAAGGAGGTGAGGTCAGGAAAGGAGATTTTCCAGCTTGTGGTCTTGGCCATGAAATAGTTCTCATTGCCGAGCATACCAGTAATTATTTGTGGCTCGGTTATTTCCTAGATCCATGCTTTCTGGAGGAAAAGTTAGTGGCTCTGAGCTATAGGCTGGGGTCTCTCAGCTATAACTATCTATTGTAAAAAGTGAGAATGTCCTCAGCAAACTGACATAAGAACAGAAAATCAAACACTGCATGTTCTCACTCATAGACAGGTGTTGAACAATGAGAACACACGGACACGGGGAGGGGAGCATCACACACTGGGGTCTGTTGGGGGGGACTAGGGGAGGGACAGCAGGGGGTAGGGAATTGGGGAGGGATAAAAAGGGGAGAAATGTCAAATATGGGTGACGGGGGGGATGGCAGCAGCAAACCACATTGCCATGTATGTACCTGTGCAATAATCCTGCATGTTCTGCACATGTACCCCAGAACCTAAAGTGCAAATATATGTATGTGTATATATATATATATATATATGAGAATGTCAGCCTTGCAGAATTGTCACACTCCTTTTTTTTTTAAGATGCATATTAGGTGTTCAGCAATTTAAAATATCTCCAGGGATTTTGTTAGAAATTGTCATATTCTAAAGCCGTGAAGGTGTCTATCATGGCAAATATTTTAACATCACTTGAGGATGTTGAGCCCCATTTCTTCAAATGCTTGCCCATGATTCCTGGAACCTTTGCTTTCTAGTTGAAGTCTTGGCTTAGCATGTGCAGCAGATAACACAGAACACAGCCACTCCCTGACAGCACCTCCCCTCTCCTCTGCTGTGACTTACGTTTTCCTCAGTGAGCTGGCTGCCACCTCTGCAGCTGCCCTTTGGAGTATTTCTCCAGAGTGCTGACTGTCATTAGCAGTGCTGTGGCTTGGCTGTTCTCTGTGCCAACTGTGTTTGTGTCTGCCCTCCCTTTCCATAGGATGTCCTGGTGTGCTTGGTGCTTCACAGTGGCCTTTGTGAGTCTCTGTCAGCATTTCTTTCCTTTTTGCTTTCTTTGTCTGGGTGGTTTCTAGAAGGGAGCAGAACTTTGTTGCTCAGTCATCACTGGCTGTAATGTGGGAAGTCAGAATAGTTCTTTACCTTTTCTTGTTAATTTGTGATCTTTATGCTTCAAAATGCTGAGAGTGTTTGGAAGGAAAAGATTCACAGGAAGAAATGAATTTAACCGAGATATTAGGCTGGGATGGGACACACTTCCAGTCCAATCTTGCTGTCCACTGGCTGTAGGGAGGGGTCACTTCACTGTGCCATTTCATTGGGACTTATTTTGGCATCCTCATACTGAGTTAAGTGTAGAAAATGCAGTGATGGGATTGCATTAGCCTTCAAAAAGGTGCTTATTTGTGACTGGCCTACTTAGAAAAATGGAGTGGAAAAAAAAAGAAGTGTTTTGATGCAGAAAGAAAAATAAGGTAGTAGAAGGTAGAAATAGAGAACCACAGTGAAAGACCAAGCAGATGGGCTGTATCAGCTCTAAAATGTCCCTGGACTATGTTCTTCCTGGCTGTGTCCTGGATTTTCCATTCTTGCTGACATTTGCAAGTCATAAATCAAGGGGGTATTCTAGAAGAGCCTTACGGTTTTGTTGAAATATGAGCAGCCAGGAGAGCCTCTGGGTGGAGCAGGACTTGCAGGTGCTGGAGGTGGGTGGGCAGGACATGAGTTGAATAGCAGGCAGGGATATTAGGCAGTGTGGCCATTGCCTGTGGAGACCAAAATTTTACCTTTTTAAAAGAAACTTTGGGATTTTGGCCTGTAAAGGACAGACCAGTGAGTCATTTCTGTTGGACTGGGATGGGAAATTACTAGTTTTTGGTCTTAAGATTCTAAAAGTCTGCAGATGTGCAACCATAGTCTTTTTTATTCCCTTTTGCTTTGCCTTTAAAAAACTTTACTGTTAACAAAACCTTGCCTATTCTGCCTCAGGTGGATCAAATCCTTTTTCTCATATTTGATGCCATAATAGTCTTGAGAACTATCTAGACACTTTTCAGATTAAGAAGCTGTGTCTTACCCAAATTCCTGTCCTCATGACAGGTTTTCCCAAAATCTAGGACCAATTCCTGATCAACTGCTTTACATAATCAGATCAGTCATGGCTTCAGTTCTGTGCATCTTCTAACACTTGACATGGACTTTTATCTTAAGGGCTTTCTTTCTGGAGTCCTTTAAGGACTATTCTTAATTGCTTGATGCCATAGGCTGTGGGCTGTAACTGTGAGAGAGGTACTGTGCTAATCTCTAGACATACATGATTTTATTTACATTTTACAACCCTGTGAAGTAGGTATTATTATTCTCATTTAATGGCATAATAAAATGAGGTCCAGAAGAGTTACATAAGGTGACCTGAAGTCATGCAGTTGGTAGTGGCTGAGCTAGGATTTGAACCCAGATCTATCCTACCTCAAAGCGTAAATGCCTAACCAGTCTGCTGGAGACTCAATCTGGAGTTCATGCCCCTGTCACCCCTAGATTCTATGTGAACTTTTTGTACATGTGTCTTTCTGGGAAGAAGGATCCTGGTCTATATCATATTTTCAAAGGGCTGTGATTCCACAAAGCTAAGAACACTGTACTCAACTATTAGAGTTGGTAGATCAGTTAGGATACTTTTGGTGGCAAACAAAGCAGAACGTAACTCAAACTGGCTATGTCAGTGTTCACACACAGTTTAATCAGGATTTCTGCTCCATTTCTCTGTAACGGTCCTGGCTTCATCCTCCTCCTTGTGCAGGCTTTGTCCTTAGGCTTCCTGTATTGATAGCAAAATGCCTGTAACAGTTCCAGGTCCAATGTCTACACACAGAGGTCCAAAAGAAGAGCATTTCTCTCCTCTCTACTGTCCAGCAAAACTTGTGGGCTTCATTCTTGGCCATTGGGCCGAGTAAGATCCTGTGCCCCTGTCCTGAGCAGTCACGGGAACTGGGGGATGCTGTGCATGGATTGGCTGCAGCCAGTGTTCCTTGTGCATTCCTGAATCAATCACAGTCTTAAAGAGGATAAGATTACCTTGAGTGCCTGAGGCCTCTGCAGCCGGGAGTAGGGTCATTTTTACCCAAATGGCATGGCTGATTGTTAATGGTCAGGGGAAAGGTGAATTGGATGATGTGCAGGCATCCAACAATACCCAAAATAGTTAGTATTCTTCCCTTGGCATCACAAAGATTTTGCAACAATCTCCGTGTCTTAATGGGACAAGATGAAAGCAAATTCAGCTTCCAGGAGGAAGATTTTAAGCAATTCATTGTTCTCTTTGATTTGAGGAGTTTAATATGCTGCCTTTTCCCCATTCCCAATCAGAGTCTCTTTAGTGAGGCAAGATGTCCCTACCAACGAAGAGATATTTCCTTTAGATGCAGTTCTAATTAGAATTGCTGCTTCTGAGAAACACTTTCATGGCCTGAATTATAAACTCCTTTGGTATATTTTCCTCTTGTTTAAGAATGTCTAGTCTCAGAATCCAAGGGTGGGTGGGAAGAGGAAGAGCAATTGAAAATGAGAATGTGAAAGAAGACAGAAGTCTTTTTTATGAGAACTTAAGTAGAGTGATGACTGCATGTGTCTGAAAATATAATTATCCTCTTTTGTTTGCTTGATAGAGTTTTGATAGATAGAATCTTGACAGCTCTGTTATGAAATGTTAAAATGTAATTTAGGTTAAAAAATCTTAATTATCTTAAATTATAGTCTGAAGTCATGTGCTAGGCTTTGATCTTTTTATCATGTGTGACACAGCACAGGCTGCAGGTGCAGCTAATCCAGCTGCTGTGTTTGCATAAAAGAGTGAAAAAAGTTGACTGGCTCACCGGACACCCCTGGAAGGGATGGATATATGTGTGCACAGAAGGAAACCAGTGGGATTTGCCCTCTGCCCGGCAATCCCTAGATGATGCTCTAAAATTTAGAGCAGAGGAGCATTGTAGGTACTTATATTCATTAGAGAATAAAGCCCAGGCTTCTTTGTGCGACATTCAGGCCCTTGAGGACATGGTCGTAAACGACCCTCTCAGGCTCAGGGGGACATTTGTGAGATAAGGAGGGTGTGGGCTTCAGAGTCAGACCCTAGACTCCTACCTCCCCTCACCGACTTGCTGAGCAAACCAGGATTTGCTATTTAAGATCTCTAAGCTTCAGTTTCTTCCATTTACCATAAAGGCAAAGAAAACACACTGACCTTTTTAGTGGAGTTGAATCACCCCATCTGTACTGTAGCTCCCAGATATCTGCTTCCTCTCACTTCCTCCCTCGCTTTCTTATATTGTTGTTTTTATTTCATCTTGCCTCTCTTTCTCTTACTCTCTCTCTCCCTCCCATCAAGGAGTTGGAATGCTCATTAGGGACATGGACTGCATGTCCTCCCCTCCGTTTATCCCCTAATCCTAGTAGAGTGATTTGTCACATGATTAAGTGCTAGATACAACTTTGCTAAAATGAGGGCTCACCAATATCCTTCATCATCCATCTGACCTTCTTATCAAATGTCAATAAGAAAATGAAATACCGAAGTGAGTCAGAAGGAGAGAGGGCTGGTTGAGGTGAGACATAACTTTGTAGAGTGGGTAGGGAGTTTGATCCAATGGGTTTAAGTTCTGGCTAAATGATGACCTTGGGCAAGTTACCATTCTGTGCTCAGTGTCCTCTGTAAGATGGGGATGATAAGAGACCCTCTTTAGAGGGTTGAGATGAGAAAAAAATGAGATAATGTAAAATATACTTAGGAGAATGAGTACTTAATTAACATGACCTATTATTGTTCCCCCAGAAGATTAGTTCTGCCAGGTAAGAACTTGATTGTATACTCATGAAATTTGGTGAAAGTCTTATTCTTTCATGAGATGAAAACTGAGCAAGAGCAGAGAAATCCTTTTATGACTTTCTCTCCCACTTTGTCCAAGGTGGGGAACAAGATATGCCAGACTATAGGATATTTCCCGTAGACAATCTGATCATTGCTCTCAGGGGAGGGAGCATGTGAATATTGTGCCCTGACCTGACCACACAGCTGCCTATTTCACCATGGCAGGAGCCGCCAGCCTCTGAGGCATTGTCCCTTTTGACATCTTCAAAGCTACCCATCATGAGGACTAAATTCTACATCAATCTTTTCTGGAAAACAGAGTCAAAAATTGACAATTGTAAGGCACTTATTGTATACCTATTATGACATAGATAATCTCATTTAATTCTCACAATAATCCCCAAAATTAGTTGCTTTCATTATCTCAGCCTCACAGAGGAGGAGACTAAAGAACAAAGCAGTCAAGTACACTGCCCAGGGTGTACTGGTAAGAGGTGGTGGCGGCAGAATTCGCATCCACCACTGGCCTTGCTGCCTCCTCTGCTCATGATGTCTGTGCCCCAGGGTTCCAGATGGGACCATGCATCCATGACATCCACAAGGCTGTCCATTCCTACATGGTGCTCTTCTCTGACCTCCTGGTGAATGGTGATAAATGTTAATGACTTTAATGTCTGTGGCTGTTGTTTTGAAGAAAGAATCATGATTTAAAAGAGGCTTAGCAAGACTTAATGAATTTATTTGTCAGAAATATGACTCTCCTAAGGCTTGGGGTGAGTTGAAAGAGAACTCAACACAAGCCCATCAGCTTGATGCAATGTCCTGCTGAGGGCTTGCAAGAGCAGTGTGAAGGCTGATGAAAAGACCCACGTGCAACGATGGGTGGGCCTGCACTTCCTTTCTTCCATCAGATGGGGCGTCCTTACTCCCAGTCTTTCCAGATGGTCTTCCCACTCTTCAACTGCTCGTGGCTCAGAAACCTTGCACACCTGCAAGAAAGTGAGAACCAGTTTTCAATAAACACATTGCACAGACTTATTATGAACCCCGGGGGTGGAATCAAGCGTCAGAGGGAGAAGAGCACATGGTCAGTTTTATTACTCTTCAGAGCACTTGAACTCTACCCTCTTAGAAGAAACAACAGTGGTGTTCTGG